TTTGTAACTTTTGTTGGTTAAATACTGAGCAATTTAAAATGAATAAACATACATGCTTGATTGGAAATAGATGGCCGTAGTGTACATTATAATATGAGTGGTTGACAAAAAGGCATTTTATTTAAAATAGTTTAATATTTGGAAAATAAAATAGAAGTAGCGAAGACATTACTAAGGACATCGAAATAAGTATGCAAAATTTTACTCTCATATATCAGTTGCAAAGATCCTGAGCTTTAAAATGTATTGAATTTTGGGGATATTTTGACATTTTAAGGGTAAGGCATTTTATAATTCGTTACATGTTTACACATGCCTAGCATTAATATTTTGTTAGAATCTGTATTTTTACCCGGTGGCGCACTGGCTAGCGCATCGCGCAGCGGCACCACAGGTCCGAGGTTCGATTCCCGAGCTGGGAAAAGTCGACTCAGCCGTTCATGCCTTGATTTCCATCACTTGGGTCGATAAAATGTGTACCAAGTTCGCTTGGGGACTAAACGCTGGGGGGTCCTGCTACAAGCTGATCACTTGTTCAGGGCATATGCTTACGCAAACCAGGGGCCCACGGTCAAGAAAGCAGATTTCGGGCACTGCAGGCCTTGGCCCATTAGGGCTGTTACACCACTGAGTTTAGTCATATTTTTGCAGTACATTTGCTTAAAATGTTGTACACCACATTGGTAATCCAAGTTGCTGTTCCATATTATCGACAGGTAATTAAAATATGTGATTTTGTACGAAACTGGCACTAACATTACCCGTCTAAAACTGAATGTTTCTTGTGCACAAGGTATCCCTACTTTTTGATTTGCGCACAAGTGCCGAAAGCGAACGTCCAACCAAGTCGTTGCTAAAAGTATATTCTGGAGGTTTCTGGGGTTTGAGAAAAGCATCTTTTAAGGAATTACGGTCTGTAAGTACCACCCAACTACTTTACGTAGATGACTTCTCTTCTTGAGTGAGAGCTAATGGTTCGTTTTCTTTATCCATGTTAACATGAGTTTCATACTGACTCTTCATACCTTATGACTACGAAATTAATCCAGGTATCTACCCAGCAGTAAATTAGATGCAGAGGCTCACGTCGATGATTTTTCTTGGATTATCGATTGTCCCAATGCTGAAAGCATTTTTCTAACAGCTTCTTAGCCAACATGGCTGAAAGCGATAGTATTATATACCTCTTAGGTGTCTGTAAGCATATTCACAGTTAAGTACATGAACCGAGATACACAGGCGGTAGTTCTACTGAGGGCCACAATCGAATGCCACTATAAATGCACGACGATGCCTAAAGTGTATATTGAACACACGGAAGCATGCGAATTCATAGTTTGCACTACATTTACTCTCATGCGATGTAACACGATTGCTTAGAAGTGAAGTCGCATAGCAAAATCGCGATTCAAGAGTTTATTCAAAGAAACATCAGAATTCACGCTTAAAGGATTTAATTAATCTGAATGCACTTCAGTTTTCGCCTCATACCATCCCTTGTTATACCTATACAGTTGAAGTTTCGAGAACTTTCTAGTGAAGAGATTTTTCTCCATGTTCTGAAACAGTCATCATTTTCACAGCAAAGTAATTTTTGATAATTTTATGATCATTCACATAATTATTGTAACTAATTAAAGATATTAGACAGCCATCGTGCTTTGGCTAAATTAACCATCCATCTCAATATAAGGAGTTGCTACCGCCATATAGTTCATACTTAGATGCAGAATAATCATTTTTAACAATGAAAGTTTCAAAATTGTATCAATAAAACCAATACCAATCAATAAATAGCCGTAATCTAAATTTAAAATTAAAATTTGCTCTATTTTTTTTCCAAATATCAGTTGAAATGCATCTAGATAGATTTTTAAAAAATCATCACAGTCAATGATGGTTGCATAAAGACTACGTGATTTCATTAAAAATATGGTAATTAAAAATGAAGATTAAAACGGAACAGTAGAACATTCCCAGTACAATTATAAAGTTAAAAAACTTCAAATCCTTAAGTCCTTCAGGCTGAAAATTATGAGTGATGCCGTAAAAATGAGTAGGAAAAGTATTACCTTACTTCAACTTATACGGCAAAGGTTCACTAAAGTAGTGGAAAAGGAAATGAAGTTATCTGATTTAGAAATTAAAATTTGTTTCAGACAGATGCAAAAGAAAATAGGTCTTTGAAAGCTAAAATAAGAATAAGTTTTATTTTAAGAAATTACTTTTTGCGTAGAACATCCAAGCCAGCGTAATAGAAATGCCTTCATTCTTTGAACACAATAGATGTTAGAGCCAAGTTACGATTTAATCATGTATATTTCTTATTTTACTGTCTCTTCACCCCTGTAAACACTTAAATCATCTGTTCTATCTAGAGAAGCATTGTCTGGAAAGAAGCCCAAAATTTTCGAAGGTTTAGAGTATTCCATTTTGTACCCCAGGTTGCGAAAAACTTAATTTCTGAGATAAGTTGATGAGAATTGCTAATAAATTCCTCGAGAATGGTTGCTATTTATAAAGCTTAGCAAATCCATCTCTTTTACAGTAGAAGAGTAACAGGTTTTCTGACATGCTTCTGCTATAACATAATTAAAAAATCAAATAACATTTGTGATAGATTTCTTATTTTGTTAATGATATTGAATAACGTATTAATAACAAACGGGAAATAATAATCAGCTTTAATAAAATACCTTTCCATAAGCTAATCCAGGTAGTGGTGTTCACATTTATATATAGAGAGAGATAGATATATAGATATATATATATACAGAGAGAGCGTATGGGTGTGTGTGTGTGTTTGAATTTTGATGCTTCTTACAGAGTTAAGAATTATTCCCGAAAGAAATTTGATCGACAGTCACATTTATAAACTGCTGATAAATTATATTTCAAGACTTAACAGAAATTTTACAATGTAAGAAAAAAACGAAACCAGTGTTTTTATAAATAAAGTTTAGTTTCGATACGTAAAAACTGAAGAAAAAGTAGGTGATATTTAATGTGTAAAGGAGCTATCACATATATTCTGAAACGGAGCGGATATTTTGGTATGATATGTATAACTCTGAGGATATTATTTACAAATCTCGGTACATGTGCAAAGAGGATAGCTTAATAACAATATTTGTATGCATAATGCGATAATGTTTTCTATTGATTGATGCAAGGCCATTACTTTTATATCTGAGAACTTCACTGTTAAAAATTTTATCAGTGTTCTTTGTCTTTTGTGTTCGAATATCTGGTTGATTCAGCCCCCATTAGTCTGGCCACAGTAAGTCAGATATTTAAAATTTATATATTATTAATCAGATATACTACCAGCAGATAAAATTTAAAATCTGAATTTAGCTGAAGTTGGGAAAAAGTAGCATCAAAAACCGACAGATGCAATATACCTTGTTATGTTCATACATGACTATAGCTAGCCATTGAGAGAGATGAATAGGAATGCATGTATTAAATGCTGCTTCGTTTGATATTATGAAATTAAATAGTTACTGTACTATAAAATTTTCATCTGAAACATTTGAGTAAAGCTTTTGCTTATTGAGTATCTAAGTTGTAAACCAAAGCTATGTATTAAAAGTAAATACATTCCTATTATTTTCATGGATAAAATTCGGAAAAAAAAGCATTTCACTATCTGTAAATTTCTTAACTATAAAGTTACTTAGATAGTGAAATACTATAAAAATATTAATTAATAAAAACTAAAACGATATTAACTAAATTGTAGTTACGGGACTATAAGATCCCTAACTTTTTAGATAAATTAATGCATCAGATCCCTTTGTTTGTCCTACAGTAATGGGAATAAAATATGTAATAATCAAATTTCAGGGTTAAAGCTAACACTTGAAGGAATCCTGTTCCCAGATTTTTATATATAACATTTCTGCGTTAACTATGTAGAAGTTAGTTTCTTCGAAGCTTTTTCTTATGTAATAAAATTGTTATTTCCTTTTCAACTGCAAAAGAAAAAATAATGCATTATCAATGAAAAATGTACTAGAAGCTTAAACAATAAATACTGCAGTTGAGAAGACATCATAATTGTCGGGAAAGGGGGTTTTACGTCATGCATAGTTTTAATTTAAATATTTTAATCGCTCGTATTTAAGAAATAAATTTAGTACCATTTAAGAATGTCGGGAAAAGAAACTGCGATAAATGGAAAAATAGGTATAAATAACTGCTGTTTAATTAATTTACATTCAATTATAGTTAATTAAAATTTTATTTCAGATAGATAACTCTTATGAATGTAATTAATCTCAGCATTTAATTTGTCTGAATTCCACTTCAGTTAGTGAAATAGTTAATCATTAAATTATGTATTAACAAGAGTATTACAAGAGTTAACAATAAAAGGATATAATGTATAAATGACTGTAAAGCTAAATTTTACGAAAAAGAAATATTTCTATCAAACTATAGCTCCATTTCTGTTGTTTCTAATTTCGAATTATTTCCAGCTTGTGTATATATCAAAATTTTGGGAATGTAGCTTATTCCCTTATTTACTTCTTACTTCTGAAAATGCATCTTTACAAAATGTATATCTTTGGAAATGACCGCCAATTTATTTAATTAAAGTAAATATTCAATTGTTTACGCAATGTACATCTGTAAAAATGAACTCTAGCGTCCAAAACCACACTTCTTTTATATCGGGATAACCACTTGAAAAATAAGACAGAAGCAATAAAAAAAGCGTTAACATTCCGTAGATTATTATTATATCACAGCATCTTTGAGCTAATGTTCCAAATTACATCCTGGAAATATACAAAAATTTTCCCTCCCTCGGCTTCCGAAACTGGCTGGAGTGGGGGAAAAAAATGCAGCGTGTATTTGTTTACCTTAGGCAGCTAGGAAACGTGCTCCAGCAAGTGATGCGGGCACGCACGTGATTGAGCAAAGAGTTGTCCCCATTTAAGCGGGGTTTCAAGTCTCCGCGAACCATCTCAAATGAAACTGCTGCTACTTACTTGGAGCAGTAGTATGACATGACTGCCAGAAATGCTTCAAAATCGTCCTCGGCTGCAGAAAACAATGCACGAGACACTAAAGAGACAGAACTTCAGTCTTCTCTCCGAGCTATCTTATCGACATCAATCTCGGCAAGCAGGAGAACTATCAAAAGGCGATACTAGAGCTCAACCGGTAGCGAAAATTTCCTTCGAAAAAGAAGAACCGAAAAGAGCGACAACCCGTTTAGCCGCACAACCCAAGGGAAAAAATAAATAAAAAATAAATAAATAATTTAACGACTATCCTAGGCAGTCAGTTTAACCGATGAAAGAATCACAAGGATTGCCCGAATCCATCGAGTTCACCGTTTCTTCCGCAGCCTCAGAGCGCCAAATTCGCCAATCTTCGCCAAACCTTTCCGTTGCAGGTTGTTTTCTTTTTCCCCACCTTGCGCGATTCTTTTGCGTAATTCGATGTCGCCGATGCTCAGGATAACGTCAATAAAAAATTGATTTGGTAACTCGTTATAAATTCTGTTGCATACCGCTAACTTTTACGTTTAGGTTTATTTAAAGATAAACTGAACTCAACTTTCTCTCTTTTTCCTGTTACTATTCTACTCGACATTCCTTCTTTACGACACTTTTATGAAAAAAACGTTCCGTTATTTGCAAAATTAGACAAAATCCATCATAGACTGGTGTTAATTTTAGATACATGATGCAAGCATGTGTAAAGAATATGATACAGTTTTTTTTTAGCCCAAAGGGCGTTAGCCGAGAGGGACTATTAATTTCAAAACGGCATTTTGCGCCGATTCACTTTTGAAACTGCTGCCACCAAATATTATCTCCGTATTTAAAGAAACTAAATAATGAAGAATCTGCATGAATGCATAAATGTTTCTCGCATTGTGAAGGAACCTAGAGCCATCAAATTTTGAATAACGTAGTCCTCAACCGAACATGGATACTTGGAAGCCCGAATTTCGAATTAGTTTTATTATCTATTTAAAATTTTGTAACTTTTACGAGTTTTTGATTAACAAACTCAACAATTTCAAAGCGATTAATGGCAACACTATAGGGGAAAAAACATTTTTATCTCCAGCGCGCGAGACTGTGTATCGGAAATTCTAGAGATATGCTGTTATGTTGTTTTTATAAATATTTTGTGATATTGCTGTTAAATTGAATTTTGTGAGTTTTAAGTGCGAAGAATATGATATTTAATAAATAAAGATAACACATAAAACATTAAAAAAAAGCATTTTTGGGAATAACGTAAGATCTGAAAGCTTTCAGATTTTTTTATTTATTTATTTTTTCTGTGCTTATCAAGATACTAAAAACACCATTCTTCTTAAAGTTTAAGACGAAATTCAGAACAATTACTTACAATACAAAAATTCATGCTCTAGATTGATGATATTTAGATTGGATTCTATGGGACATTTTTATGGTTTCGCAACAATAATTATTATTTTTATTGTTTGTTATTCCAAAATTTATTTAATCATATTTTAATTTAATAAAAATGGTTAAATAAAATGGGTAGGTGGACATTGCAAACCCCTAAATGCAGGGCTAGGGTAAATTGATTGTGGCAAAGCACTCGAGGACTAGCTACCTAAAGAGAGGGATGCCTTCGTGGAGAACGTTCTAAGGGAAACTGGCTCATGCTCACGTTACATATGTGAAAAACCACGAAAACACTCGTGCGGCTAGCCCGTTTGCGGGATTCCAACCTCGGACCTAACTACCAGTATTAGCGACTTTACCACTCGGTCATTGGTGGACCTCAAATACATAGAAAATATTGTCTGATCAAAATATCATAATTAATAACTTGTGAGATGGTTCCTAAAATTTATTGATCAAAGTAATGAATGGCTACCATGAGACATTTCATTTCGTTGTCGATGGACAGCTTTTCACCGGTAAGCGCTCATTGGGTTTTTTACACAACGGGCTCTATGAGATATGGAAAATATGTTAAGTGTTCATACAATATACTTTTATTCCCTTAAAAAACGGCTTGCTACAAAATGTTTGAGAAACTTGATACCTCTTATATTAGTAAATACGATCTATATAAACTTAAAATTCGGGACTGAATGCCAAACGGAATTTGGAATGAGGAGGATTAAATAGTTTCCTTATTCACCATTAACTCTGGGACACATACATTAAAATTATGCTTGTTTTTTATTCTTTTCCTCATCCCAATAACAGTTTATAGTATATAAATAAAAAAAATTACTTAAACCACGAAGAAATAATTGCTATTCCGAACAGTGAGTCAACTTTGAAGTAACTAAATCCACAACTAATTGTTAATGTATTAATTAAAATCTTCATTTTATGAGTAACAGCAGTCTATATGCAATATCTCTTCGCTGCACGAATGTTAAGATTTATTACAATTCTTAAAAACTATCAAACTGTTTCAGGAACAGTAATGCAGAAAAGTCATTTTAAACGTTCCAGAAAAAATCCTTGTTTGACTTGGAGCTGAATTTTTGCCGATTGGAAGAAAAGGCAGAGAAGGTCTGCATCAATGGATAAATATAGAACGTTTTCAATTCTGCATATTGATCTGTTTATATTATAACGGAAAATATAGCTTGCTTATATTTAATTTTTGACATCCTTTTAAGGTAATGGGATTATTCGCCGTAGCCGTTTCGTCGTGGCCGTTTTGACGTAGCCTTTTCGCCTTCAGAGCGTTTCGCCGCCAACACATATTAGTCTTTATATGATTGTATTATATTAAGTTGATTTAGTTTAATAATTATGTTTACCTGTTGTATATTCAAGAGATATTTTTCTTTATATGCCTCTAATATATCTTGCCATATTATATTATTAAGTTTATTTAAGAATTTTGTTTACCTATTCTATATCTCTGGTTGTCTGAAATTTTAAAAGAAAAGAAACTTCTGCAATTAAACAAATTTTCTAGAATTTATAAATATTACCTAGAATTAATGACGTTTTTTCCGAAAAACAATTTATTTGGAAGGGTTTTCTGAGTGTCCTAATCAGGTGTATTGTATGTATATAATAGTGAAAAAGGCCGATTAAAATTTAAAGAAATTTTGACGAATCATGTAAATATTGTACCTGCATAATTTTAAAATTGATAATATGCCTTCTGTTACATCAGACGTTTAGCCCAATTATCTTTGATACTCACATAATTGTCTAACTAACTATGTGTAATTTATATCTCATATTTGTAAATAACTATATATATATTATAAGCAACCTTTATTACGAATACAACTGGTAAAGAGAATTATTAAACTAAATAAATCTTGCCATATAATATGCCAAGATATAATACAGTCATGTAAAGAAAAATATATCTTGACGGCGAAACCTTCTAACGGTGAAACGTCCCGAAGGCGAAACGGCCACGGTGAAATGGCGACGACAAAAAGTCTTAGATCCTCTTTTTTAAATCTTATACAAGGACAAAACTTATTATAGAGATGCGTTGCATTATGCATAATTGGTAAATATGAATTGCATGCAATGCTTCGCAAGTCATCACACACTTTTAGTTTTCAACAGTTATGTCAAAAATTTCAAATGTATTACAAGTGATTTCTTTTGATGTATGTCCCGCGAACGGGCTGGCTGCATTAGTGTTTTCGTGGTTTTCCCCATGTGTAACATGTATACGAGCCAGTTTCCCTTAAAAGTCCTTCACGAAGGCATCCCTTCCCTTAGGCAGATAGCCCTCGAGGCTCTGCCGTAATTAAATAGCCTAGCCTAGCCTAGCCTTTGATGTATGTGTTTACACGGTCTTCTATTTTCACTAAATACTAGTCATTTTCCCGAAAATATAATACTGGTCTCAACATTTAATATCTCCACCTCCCTTGAGTTCCCCTTAACCTTAGTATAACTGTACTTATTGCAGGCAAAGCTTAATTCTTAAAATGAAACGTTCCCCAATCCGTAAGAAGGCCGGAAATTAAATGTTCTGGAATAAGGCCGTCAGAAAAGATGAAAAAAATGAAATAAATAAATGCAATTAAAAATTAAATAAAATGTAAAGAGTTAATTTTTTTAAAATTTCTTAAATAAAGTTAAATTAGTGATAACCCATTCATTAATAAATTTAAATAAAACTCATTTTATTTGGACTCCGAATGGTATTATTATTTCACTCAACACATGAGGAACAACGGACCTGGACTCCGGAAGACTCTGACTGAATTTAAGCTCTGATCGCAGATAAATTCTATTAGGCAGCATAGTCGTGTCCGAAGGCTTTTGAGACACAGTTTTACTTCTTTAATGGGAACCTATTAACCTTTTTGTTAAATGTTTCATTTCTAGAAAATATTTAGAAAGAAGAGGAAAAAATATGGAGCAAGCCAATGTTTGAACGAAAATCAAGTTTTGTAATTTCACGTTCATTCATTTTAAAAATTTGACTACAGTTTCGAAAAATAAAAGTATCCTTTCACTTATACGAGACACTGTGCCTGAAGTAAAACAGAAAAAAATCTCACATTAATTGCATTTTGACCCCTTAATCAACGTCTTGCAATAAGAGGTTTTCGTAATTCAGCGTGAAATTTTTATGTTGACTGCTGTTAGCGAAAAGATTAGTTTTCGATTTATTTATCAACAAACTAAATATCCTAAGAGTTTCAATTAAATTTTGATTTCAGCAATCACTTCAAAACTTTTCTAACATTCAAAACAAAATATAGTATAATTGCTTGATAAATATAATTTTTGCCGTGATATTCCCTTAAATCCTATAGACAATTACTAATATAAATCATTATGTGGTTTTCCAATTTAAATTAAAATATTATTTATAAAGCAGAGCTGTATTATACATATCTTACAAAGCAAAATCTGAGTTTACTGATATCGGTTATCTTTCAGCATGCAAAGACATATGGTAATCAAATAAAATACATAATTCCTCAGAATTTAGGGTTTTCCCAAAGCACATGTTTCTACAGTACATGTAATCTAAAAGTACGGATTCTAGTGTAGTTCTTAAAACTAAATTTCAAAAGAATTTGAAGTTAGCTTCTCAAGCTTTGCTAAGCAAACGTCTTAAAACAAGGCATGAAAAAACATGCTTTCAATGATGATCAGATAAGATAAGAAGGCAAGAAGACAGTCAAACTGCTAATAAATGCCGTAAATATTAGCAAGATAGTTTCTGGGTTCTGAAAATGAAATGCAAAGTGAATAGGTTCTGAGGGGTGCAGAAACTGCAAAAGTATAGAAATTAGTTACAAATGGGAAGAAACAGAGAAAGAGAAAGGACAG